ATGATATTGTGAAATACAGTGGAGTTCGCCGGGTGTTTAGCTGCGTCACTGGAATGGATAAAAACTCACGGCAATGGAAACTACCTATACTAATAGCGGTATTTATGATACTAATGAAGCTAAATGTCTACATCCTTAAGGTGATATTTAGAGAAATTATTACCTGTTCCCAAATGAGGAAGATATCACAGAAATGATATTACTATTGGCGATATGATTGCCATCATTACTAAAACTTCTTACGCATCCTCAGTATTCAAATTACTTTTTCACTAAAACCAAAAACGACATGACTGCAACTATTGTGAATATATGTAAAAAAAAAGAATATATATGTCACTCTAATTACTTGAATATATATGTCACCCTAATTACTTTTTTTTCTTTTTATCTTAGTCCTCATCTTTCATCAGCGCTGATACCACCTACTTTTCATGATGATGAGGACTCTTTTTTCGTAACTTGGATTAATGACCAAGTAATCAAATTAAGCGACCACTATGCGTCTCCCTATACCGCCGCGCTCTCATACGTAAAAGCAAGCGTCGACCGTAGATAATGTCCTTCAGATGTAGAGAGATGGAGAGCGAAATAGAAGGAGAAAGAAAAGGAAAGAGACAGGGAGATTAGATTGATAGATAGATGAGTAGATAGATAGATGGATAGATAGCGATAGAGATAGTGAGGAAAAATAGAAAGCGAAATATTGAAAAAGCTAGAGAGAGAGAGAGAGAGAGAGAGAGAGAGAGAGAGAGAGAGAGAGAGAGGAGAGAGAGAGAGAGAGAGAGAGAGAGAGAGAGAGAGAGAGAGAGAGAGAGAGAGAGAGAGAGAAGAGAGAGAGAGAGAAAGAGAAAGAACGAAAGGAAGACGACAAAAAAAACGGTCCTGCTTAGCACCAAATATGCTATCACAGCATGAGTATTTCAGTCACACATATCCTCAATCAGAGACGACAATGGGAGATCTAACACAGGCCTACACCGCCCGCACCCCCTTCTCCTCAGGAATATCGCAGGCCGTGGACGCAGCCTGTATATCATTGGGACGGGGACATTTGGGAATATAAGACAGGAAGCTTTTATCTTCGTTGCCCAAACACATCTCCTGGAATTGAGAGCGGTTCGCCTTTAGCAATGGTAATAGGTCGGGAGGGAGGGACGGAAGGGGGGGGGGTGGGCAGGGAGTTGGGGGGGGTAGGGGTAAGGTGTGTTTTTTTTTTTTTTGGGAGAGGGGATGATGACAGAATTATTCATTCTATTAATCTCCCACCCTTACGGAAAGAGGGCAGAGTGGCGTCTAAACATTCATGAGATTAAGAAAAGTGATTTTGCTGCCATGTCGTGAAACCGCAAAGGGAATATCCGAAACGAAGGCGCTGGTGCTGTGAATGTGTCGTGGCATATCAGAACGGGAAGGATCTATTTGACCTTTCCGTCTGAATAACACGCCATGACCTTTTTCTCTTATAACGCTGTGGTCTGACGATAGGCCTGTGACTAACGCGGTCCTTAGAGAATATAGATGACCATGACTGATACTCATATCCATTGGTAGGCAACAAATATAAGCAAATAAACAAATGCATGTTGAGAAAATCGTTCTTTCAATTCATTTTATACCAATAGTTCTCATCTATCTCTTTCTTCCCCTTGTTCATTATGTTTATCTACAACATCGGTTCTTAACTTCATTTTTCATATCTCATGTTTCACATCGCTGTAAAAAAGGAAAATAAAAAAAGGAAAAGAAAAAGATGACCCTAAGGGCGATACCATCCTCATTCACACAGAAAAACCCACTTTTTCCTATCAGGTTACACTCTCTATCTTTATTCACGAACAACAACAACAACAACAAAAAAACATGTATGTATATATATACATATATATAACTATCTATCTATCTATCTATCTATCTATCTATCCATCTATCTATCTATATATATATATACTGTTACATATCAGCCATAAAATAATTAACATGTGACAACATCATATATTATACCTTAGAAACTATCATGTATATAAACCTCTATAGTCTTTCGAGAGAGAGAGGGATTCGCGTGTAAACATTCAGCCAGTCACACAAACGGTATTTTCATCTAGGCAAACCAAAATTTAAAATACAATTATTTGTAATTAGTTCAGCTTTAAACCAACGAATGGGCTGACCGCACTCTAACAACTAATTTTTCATTCCGGGAAAAGGATTAGGCTTAAATCAGAATATGCTAAATGGTTCACAGTTCATGATAACACAAAATAGAAAGAAATGCGATCCAGTCATTTAGATTAGGATTGGAAGAGATAGGATGAAAAGACTTATAAGATAAACGAGATGAAGAAGGAAAAACGAGTTAAAAAGAGACTGGAGGAAAGGTAAATAGCGATAGAGACAAAGGAAAGAGATAAAAAGCGAAAGAGGCAAAACTCGAACGTCACATCAGAAAAATGCGAAAGAGAGAGAGAGAGAGAGAGAGAGAGAGAGAGAGAGAGAGAGAGAGAGAGAGAGAGAGAGAGAGAGAGAGAGAGAGAGAGAGAGAGAGAGAGAGAGAGAGAGAGAGAGAGAGAGAGAGAGACAGAGACAGACAGACAGACAGAGAGAGAAAGAGAGAGAGAGAGAGAGAATGAGCGATAGATATATATGTAGATCGATAGGTAGATAGACAGATTCACAGATAGATAGATAGATAGATAAAGTGAGAGTAACAAAGATAACAAAATCAGAAATAAGAAACTCTGCTATTCCCACTGCTGTCGGTACCTGTGAAATAAAGGAAGGAAAAATGGAAAAAAATGTAATTGAAAGTGTAACTGACAAATGCCTGATCCATTTCTTTCTAGCCTTGATCTAGATTACAAGAAGCTCCCTTTTTTTTTTTTTTTTGTATTCACAGGTGCCGATAGTTCAGTTCAGCGCACGTGCAAGTCTGCCCTTTAACTAAAAAGTCTCTCTCTCTCTCTCATTCTTCTTTCTCTCTAACTCTCTGCTCTCTCTCTCTCTCTCTCTCATTTCTTTTTCTCTCCAACTCTCTGCCTCTCTCTCTCTCTCTCTCTCTCATTCCTTCTTTCTCTCCAACTCTATGCCTCTCTCTCTCTCTCTATTCATCTATCTCTCTGCCTCTCTCTCTATCTATCTATCTGTCTCATCGCCTTCGTCTCTCTCTTCTCCTCCTCTCTCTTGCTCCCAGGCATCTGTCTATCGACCTTCCGTCTCCCCTGCTCTTAATTACTTCCCTTCTATCCCCAACACCTTCCCTTTGACGGCGCAAACCCTCCGCCATTTTCTTCTCATCCGTCACCCTTCCTTTCCGCCGCCACCTTCCCTCACCTCCCGCCCACCCACCCACCTACCCGTACCCATCCGCAGAGCCCACCACCACACATCCCATCCGCAGAGCCCACCCACCCACCTTTCCCCCTCACCTCCCCATCCGCAGAGCCCACCCCACCCACCTTACCCCCTTATCCCCCATCCGCAGAGCCACCCACCCACCTCACCTCCCCATCCGCAGAGCCCACCCACCCCCCCCCTCACCTCCCCATCCGCAGCCCCATCCGCAGAGCCCACCCACCCACCTTACCCCCTCACCTCCCCATCGCAGAGCCCACCCACCCCACCCCCACCTCAGTGACCCCACTAACCCGCTCGGCTCACCAGGCTCTCTAAGACCAATACCTCCGAAGACGCGAATCTGATAGAGCCTTGTTTGATATTCATTGCCAGGTCCCGGAGCCATGAGTAGCGTTCGGTCCGTCGGATTGAAAAGGGTAAGCTGTCAGAGGGCCGGAGCGCAGCAGGGGGAGAGGTCGCGGGCGGGGAGCGCGGGCGGTGATAGGAACGCCCTTCTCCATATCCAGGTGCGCGGGGACCAAATCAAATTTATCTATTACTTTAACTCAATAGCGTTTTTGGTAATGCATGCGAGAGCCGTTCGCGTCCCCATCTGTCAGACTTCGTTGCCGAGATGAGGCTGTAGAAGCACGCGAAACAAATGGTTGATTCTGGATAATTCAGTTTGAGTCCATTACGGCCGGGATTCTGACTCCGTCGGCATTTTAAACTAATGATCAGGCCGAACACATATTTTCAAATGACAGATTCAATAAACATTTAATTCACAGCGGCGGCCGATCAGTATGGGGGCGGTTCCAGTTTGCAATCCGATCCTCTCTCGTCAACGTAATCCTATATCTCTGCCCCTGAAACGTGATCGCGATTTCCCTCCTTTCAGCAAAGCTTTCGCTCTTCTCTGTGAGCGTTTTCATCTTCAGAAGAGCTCCTCCTCCTCCAGGTTGACCCCTTCACCTTCAGCGCGATCCCCTTCCCCCAAAATAGACCCTTCTCAAGGTGGATAATTCCCCATTAGGACGTACTTCTCCCCCGAATTATGCCGCGGCAAGCTCTGCGCTGCACCCGCCCCGTGTCCCCACGACGTCATAACAGCAACAGCACAACAACAACGATACAACAACAACACCTACGCCAGACGTCTTCCTTCGCCGGCCTCTCCCGGGACTGAGTAGAATGAACATGTTTGCTCCGACAGACTAAATTCTGCTTTATGTACTTCCCGCAGCCCCTTGAGAACGGAGCTGCTGCAAAGATTTTTCTGCGTCGCGTTGATTGGACTTTATATTTACTGCAGCGAAGGTACTTTGATCAAAGGGACGTTTGTTTCGGCGTCGAGATGGAGGTGGAAGAAGGGAACGCAGTAGGTGGAGTGAGTGAGGATCTTTACATATGATGGATATCATTCGTGTTCAAAAGAGGAATAAAATAGAGGGGAAAAATGTGCATGTTTCTGACTTCAGGAAGGACCTCTATTTAGACGTCCTTTTATATAATATCTATGTATATATGAGTACATTTGTGTCTAGAACTTTATACACACTCATATGTACAAGTGTGTATACATATTCAGTCTCATTTGCCACAGCAACACTTAGCTTGATCTTACAATTCCGTGATGGCAACAACAAGTGCGGGCCTTATCACTA